AGATGATTTCTCATTCCGGGATCGGAACGATAGCGATTGGCTGCTCCGCACCGGCGCCCTCATCAGCAACGAGAACCGCGAATCAAAGGGCCAGGCGTGGCTGGTATCGAGACAGAGCTCGACGAGCCTGACGGGTATGCGGGACGCCGACGAGGAGGCATTCGAAAGGGAACTGGCGCGGGAGCGGGAGCTCACCAGCAGACGCAGCAGCCGGCGCGGCAGTCTCGCTGACCTGGAGGGCGCGGCCTACATCCATTCCGCCCGGCCTAGTCGTCCTGGAAGTCGGTCAGCTAGCAGAGTCGGCGGCACCCGGAGCCAGATGTTGACGCCGATGGAGCGCGAACGTCACTCTCTCGAGGAGGGATACTTCCCCCGCCACCACGACGGCGAGGACTACATCCCCGGCCCGGACTTTGTCAATCTCGACGAGCAGCTTGAGTCATTCGACTTTGACACCACGCAGGACGACGAGGCCGCCGTCAGGAGGCTGGTCAAGGGCGAGAGGGCCGGAGGCGCCTCCTGGGTCGGGAACATCCTGGGATGGCCATTGTTCGCCGTCGAGGAGAACGAGGAAGAGTCTGACGACGAAGACGATGTCGACGGGGACGAGTTCGAGGGTGAGGCTGACGAGGATGGGGCGCACGGGCTTCACCGGTCGTGGTCAGCCCGGCATTTCGAGAGTGTTATCGGCGCCCCGGAAGAGCGGATTCCGCCCCCAAAAGCAAACGAGGGTGGCTGGCAGGACGCGGCGTGGCTGCTCAGTGTGGCTACCAAGGTTTTGCTGTGAAGAGGTCAAGAAGAAGGATTCAGCGAGAAGGAGAAGAGGAGGGCTTATTTTGTCACCCCCCATTGAGCGAGGAGACGGGCAAAAAAAGAATTGGAGAAAAATATTGCACAACCACCAACACCGCCGCACCCTCATGGGCCCCATCGTCGGACCGCTTGAGAACGGTGAAGTGGATATCATCAACCAGCCCCAGCAAGACTGAAGCTTCACCGTTAGACTATTTGAGAACCCCGGCAGCCGAGAATCTGCAGTGTATATTTGCTTGCGCCGAATGGCCCCACGTTGCTTTCCTGCAAAATCCTTCAGAAACTTCGATATGCTACAAGGAGGGGATCGGCTCCTCTCGAGTCTCCAAGTCTCGGCCTCAACAGGTGCTTCTCGTACCCGGAACAGGCCCGTCACCCGTCAAATAGTCCAGCTCACTACCTATTGATCCCCAGCCCTCGTATTTCGGCATTGAATTGTTGCGAAGCTTCCCAATCATGGGGGATCGACACTGCAAGATAAACCTCGGATGCTGGTTCCCATGGTTATATGAAGCACTTACCTCATCTTAATAGCGACACTGCTGCGAGTGCCATACTTAATAAATCCTAACGATTCTCTTTCCTGGTAGCCGTAGATCGGGCTGATGCTTGCCGTCTTCAAGCAGCACGTAAACCACGTGACATGTACACCGATGCGGGACCGGGCTATCGCCCCCGGTTCCGGCCATATTGACCTGAGCTCCGCTACCTCTTGTCATTGACACCAAAAGCATTGGCTCTGAGTCAAAGGAGGGGTGGGCGTCTAGAAAAACTAGAGAAAAAGCCTAAACCAGCACAACGGCGCCCCATCTGGTTGGAATGGACCACCGCGAAGATTGAAAGCGATCCGTCTGAACTATCGTCGCAAATGAATGCCTGCCCCTCTCTGCGGACAATGGCGGCCGGCCAAGCCGGCGTGAGAGGGACCACTGGCCGCATAGTAGGACCAAAAAACCGGTTTTGGCAGTATCACCTCGCGCTTGCATGCAGCAGCTGGCGGGAACCTCGTGTTGTCTCTCGCAGATTGGCTTGAGGCGCGAGACGGTGTGAAAGCGGTTGAGCTGGGTTTATGAGCTCTCGCAATCAACACACCGCGAGCTGTGGTTGTGAACCGTACCCCTGGACCATTGATCGCATGGCTCTACCTAGATAGTCATGATGATCACTCTCTTTCAAGACTGTCTGTCTGTGAGAAACATGGCGCAGAAGTCTCAGATCCCAACCAGGTGAATGACAGGTATTCTTGTGGAGTTCACTCCCGGTTGTATTACGGAGAGTTAACAGGCCAAAAGTCATTGGCTGCTCAAACGCGTTGGCGTGATGTCCAATACGAGTTCCTTTCTAGACATTCATCTTCACAAAGCGTCTGATGAGAGACGCTGCTCTTCGAGCTGGAGTCTGATGCGTCTTCGCAGAGACTCCAACATGAACTTGCCAATGTCGTATGGACTGGCTCATCATTCTGCCGGTACACCACAGGTTCAATCATCGGTTATTAGCAGGCGGTGTCACCATTGTAGTGTTGATCAAGCTTGCCGACCGTGACCAAGTTTGCAGCGGGGAAGGCGGATATACCGGCTATGAGTATGAGACCATGAGCACCACAGTCCTCAGTACGGATACAGTAGCTAGCTCCAAGGTGACTTGATTGACGATGTAAAATATGTCACCGTATATTGACAATTGGTCGTGCGATAGTCGGCTTCCCTCCACCTACGCGACGATCGAAGTTTTGATGGGAGGAGTCAGAGACTCAGAGATTCTTGTCAGTTCGGCCCTCTCCCCCGCCTCGAGACCTGCCGGTTTCCCTTGCTTGGCGCATGCCTGACATCAAAGTTCAACCGATCCAATGATCAGATGGCTAGCCGAGTAATAGCGGCTTGAAGATCTCTTCGTTCCTGCAATCAATTGTCCAAGGGGTCTAGAAGGCGGAATGAGGGTGAAATGTCTTGGCCAGCAGCTGTCTCTGAGTAAAAGAGCTCCGAAAAAGGCTGGATCCTATAGTGGTGGAGACGGGCGTGAACGGAGGTCGTGGAGATGAAGTGGTATGCCGATTTGCGCTCAATTGTACCGACCGTCGAGGAAAGTGGATCTTCCGTAAAACACGGGATATCTCACTGGCGTTACGGTTCCGTACTGCTGGAGTCCCGAGGTCTCCTGACACCTGCAACTCTTTATTGTCTCTGGCAGAGCCTCAAAACCGTATAATCAGCCCTAGCACCTCGCGAAGCTTAAATTTTCAACAAAGAGTGTATGTGATTACGCTGTATCTGTACTATAGCGCAAATGCCAATGTTTGCACCGCTGTAGTGCTTCGAAGGGGTGGTCATGAGGAGCGACTTGTTGTCGGCGTTGGGCTGGTGATAGAGCGCGTGTCGTTGGCATAGACCCTGAACGGAGGGCAACGGACCAAAACGGAAACGTCGTCCACTCAATGCACCCTGGTCCATGCAGGCTTTGCAGTGTAACCCACCGATGACGTTCAAGCGCGGTATGACGTCTGGCAGAAACCCAGCTCCAGCCCCCAGACCTGAGTGCATATGCAGATGCTCCACCCTACCATTCAACCACATGAATGGATCCCAGTAACACAGACCTGTGGTGGACGGGACCTTTTAAACCGGCCAAACAGATTAGGAAAATCCTTTTTCTGCCGCTGGGAAAAAGGACGCCAAAGTGGAGTGTCAACTGTCGGCCGAGAGAGTCTAGCCTCTGTCGACCAGGCTGTGTCCGAGATGGTTCTGCAGCGGTGTGGGACCGTTGCTCACCGGGCTCCATGCCACCTTGCTGGAGGGAGTGGTATTCACTGGATTGTCAGCATAGCTCCGAGACTTGCATCAGGTACAGATCGTCAAAGTAGTTGGACGGGTATGGACCCTGCATTCCAACCTTCTCCCCACCTCTCGCCGCTCCTCTTTACTCGAGCATTTCTATCAGCGTTTTCGGCCGCTGACCTAGCGTATGCCTTCAACCCTCCTGCCTTATTTGGGTCCTCCCATCGGTGTGGAGCGGTGAATGTCTTCGTCGTGAAATCCGATAGTGGTGTTGAAGGTATGTTATCATCGAATTTGCCACACCATGGACGATTTGGGGCCTTCTCGGCCGGCATAGCAGGACCTGGAAATTAGCCAAGGATCGTCACACCAGCTCACTTCGCACGGCGGAAACGTGACTGGATCCTCGTCAGCCCAGACTCCAGAGGTACGCAGTGGACCATTGGCAAGCCGGATCGTCCGCTCAGAAGTAGAAGGCTGCGTGTTCGGATGGCTCACCGCCGAGAGTTTGGGTTGTCGAACGGTGCATGGCCTTGTGTCTAGTTTGCTGAAGAAGAGCAGTGTAGGGACGGGCATATAGCGCATGCGGTCACAAGGAAGTCGCTGGTGGGAGTGAAGAGAAGTGATGGCAGAGCTGCAAAAAGATGTGAGCAGTGCAGAAGACGTCTTGGCCAAAGAGTTCCAACCCAGGTCAGCGACTCTTGGATGGAAGCACGCCCAAGAATCCAAGCTGTAGAATAGAAAATACCGTGCAAGCAGGTCCAGCATGGCGGGTGTCGAATGAATGAATCCAGCGGAAGGTGCCGATCCCTGCTTCTCCACGAGAATCAGAGGACCGTGATCAACTGACAAATGCAGGGCGACAGTCTTGCATCGTCAAGGTGAGATATCAACCGGCGGCGGTAGTGTGCAGGGAATCGACTCCAGGAGGGGTAATCCGTGTTGGTTTCGTGCGTCTTGTACTGTGACCATAGCGATTGGTAGATCCCCAACCCACGACCGGTGGTTCTTGGTCCAGAAGCATGTCGAAGGAAGGGATGGGAGCTGCTCGTGTCCGTTAGGCCATGGCGCAGTATTGCGTCGAGTGTACTAGAAGTCAGTGGCTCAAGGCTGAATATTGCAGTTGTCTGACATCCATGGAACCGAAGTAGGGCTGTTTCGTGGCGTATAGACGGAGGATATTCCCTCGTGTGGGAACAAATTAGAGGCAAGGATCGCAAAGAGGAGTACAAGAGTCATGGTAAGAGAGCAGGGGTTCCAAGGAAGATCGACTGGAAGGCCTGCGAGAGAATGAATATTCCAAACCATGATCACAATAAGGAAAGGTGGTCGTCTTTGATAGAGGACCGAGCTTGATCAGATGTGTTCTATGGCAAGCCTTTTTCGCGAGACGGGTTGGTATGAACGTCGTAGAATAACTTACAACGGGAAGCTGATCGGCACTGGATACGCAATGAAGCTCTTTTCAGTGTGCAATGCTTACGAACGACTCAAGCAAAGTTTAATGGAGAAGTTGGCGATTTCCTCAGTTTGACAATGCTCAGAGTGCTCTTTGTTCTTTGGGGAAAGAGCGCCCCATACGTAAGGGAATGCTTGCCGCATGCCCGTTGGCTTGGAGGTTCTTCCCGGCAGGAGCAGGTCGCCCTGCGGAAGTACCGCGTTCTAACCTTAGTTACCCGCCCTGCATGATGCTTCACCTCAGGCTTCTACCTGGGGGGGCAACGGAAGTTGCTTGACTTTTGTTGCTTCCACGTCGAGTCTTTCATTGTCTGGAGCTAGTCAGCACTGTCAAGTACATTAACTTACCTAAGGTGTGCAAAGTACCTAAGGTAAGGTATGGCCAGGTACGTTGACGGTACATTGACGGGTTGGCTCTGATGATGCAACTCCGGCGACGCTTCAATTAGTTCCATTGTCAGGTATGAGGTCAGGTAGACACGTCTAGACCGCGTCTAGTGGGTATTCCAGCCGCCTGTCTCCCGATTGTCATTGCCCGAGCCTCCAGTTTTATTTCCTTCTTTTCCCCTCTGCTTCCTTTGTACCCCCCAAACCTCAGCTGCGTTGACTGACAAGAACATCCAATCCATGGTAACTATCCAAGGTACGCAGTAAGAACCAATCCAAGCCATCCCAGTGCATCGGGTCGTTGCGACTGTTCATACCAAAGGCAGGCAGCATATCTCCCTCCATCTCCGAGCTGGCGCGTCTTCCATCCATCCTGTCATCATCCCCTCTGACCATACGGATAAGGTAGGTACTTCCTTCCTTCATCCTGTTTCTTGTTCGTTACCGGTCCGAACAGTCGCAGTCAAAAAGTTCCAGTCTGCTACACCCCGCCGCCGTCACCGCTGCCGCCGCCGCCGCCGCCTCCGTCCGGCAACCTCTCACAGTCTCGCTCTCCTCACACACATTCGCCGACGCACATAACAATAAGGTGGCATTCTCGGACGAGAGCCCTGCAGGAAAAGACGAAAGAGCGGCCCAATCCCGCCGCCGTATTCTCGCTTGACCCTGTCTTTTCTGGAAACCCTGGCTCTTGGCTCCCCTCCCCCTCCATCTTCACCCCTCCATCGACCCTCCCGCGCTGCTTGTGGTGCTTGGGCAATAACAACGGACGGCAGCCGCTCGCATCCTGAACCGCGCAGCCAAGTAAGTACATTAGGGCGTGGCACTCCACCACAGGCACAGCTCCCGCAAGAGATTCCAGTGGAGGGCAGCAGTGGCATTCGCTTCACTGGTTCAAGGCTCTCAGGCCTGCTCATCCGTACCCAAACTTCTTTATTTTGCCTTCCAATACCTTTCACACAGTGCTCTCCGGTCCTGTTCTGTTCACTGTCGTCAAGGCCCGACTCTAGCAAAGTGTTCGCACCAAGGGACCCCCCAAGTGAAAGTCCCCATCTTCCCAACCAAAATTGCACTAGAGATCAGTTCCAGATTCGCCCTTTCCCTCTTTGAGATACCAAGAGGGGACCACCTCCTCCACCACCACCACCACCATCACCCCTCCTGCTCCTTCTCTCTTTCTCTCTTTTGGTCCTGCCGCCCTGGTCGTTCACGCCCTGCCCGCCCCCCAGCCATCACGCCTGCCGCTTTTAATCGTCGTCCTTAGGCCATCATCACCTTCCCTGTCTTGCCCTGCTTTACTACCTTACTACCTTGCTTAGCTCACCTCACCTTACCTTGCCGCATCTTTTAAAGCCCAGGTACCTGAGTTGTACTTTACCACAACTCACCTCACCTCATCATACCTTACCTTACCTTACCTCCCCTAAGTAAAGCCTGATCACCTATTATTCATCTCTGATCCTTCGTAAATTATCAAGCATTCAACGGGTCTTATACCGGTCCGTCTTCACCTTCGGTCAGTTCACCTCGAGTCGTCCCTACCGACGGCCGAGAGGGCACGAGAGCCTACCCATCAGAGCAGCCTCAGTCTTGCCGGCGTGTACCTATTGCCGCCGGCTTCCATTAGCGACATCCTGTCATTCACCGGGCCTCATCATCCGTTGTCTCATCAAACCCGCGGCTTCGACTTTCAATACCTCCGACACAACTTCACTTCGGCTTCCTTCTTTCTCCACCCTACCTTGTTGCACGCAGGTGTAAGAAAGAAGAGACGAACCAATCAGTCCTTGACTTTCCTCCTTATCCTTCGCCGTGAAGCAACTGTCTTCTACGGCGCTTGATCCTGTCATTGGTATGTATGTACAATCCGTCTCCTTTCCATACCTTGCCTTACCTAAGGCAAGGTACCTACCTACTTTACCTTGAAGGTCGAGGTACTTGGAGCCGGGTACTTTGTAGCAAGTCACCAGCACCGCACCGCAACCCCACCACGCGCGGTCTTCCCCTCCAAAAAAAAAAGCCCACCTACCCACATCCACTTACTGCATCCCCCGCCGAAAAATTATTAGACACCTCGGAAGCCCTACCTGCTTCGCTGCCTGCCTCTTTTACACCACCAACCAGCTCTTCCCGACGTCTTATTATATGCGCGCCCGACCATAATCGGACCCGATAGCTTACCCTTTCTCATTCTACCTTAGTTCGGAAAACACTTCGTCGTCCTCTCAGACCTGAGTCCGCAGTCTCCATATCTCTACCTCTTTGTAAGTTATTTGTCTTGTGTGTGTCCGGTTCTGCTGCCCACGAACACCAACCCCTTCCTACCTCACATATCCCGAATATCCACCCTGAGCTGCATGCTCCCTGCGGTTGCGGTATATCTCCCCTTCACCATCATCACACCTGCAGCACCGCACTGCTGGCGCTGGCGGCGGAAGCACCAACGGCGGCAACGGTACGGCCTGGCACCTTGGCCACTCTCCTCATCCTTACACAGGGCAATCCAGATCCCACCAGCCTACCTATCCCCAAGAACCGGTCGCAAAGAAGCCGAAACCTTTGTTCCACAGTCCACACACACTCCATCATACATCGTGGGATCCACCACCACCTGACTGAACATCTGCTTTGCTGTCTTGCGTTGGCTCGTTGTCTTTCTAACCAAAATCTTCGCTTCGGTAGCCTCTCTCCTCTCTTCCTGTGCCTACTTGCTGTCGCCAATCACACACCGTCCTCTCATCTCGAGCGCCCTTAGCCAATACCATTTCAAACCACGCCTTTATCCGCCCTGCCTTCACGCCCACTTACGCTACATAGACACACAACAACTCTAACAAACCGCATACTCAACCGCCAAAATGCCTGCTTCAGAAGACAAGGTATGTGATTAAGTTTTACTCCCGTGTGACGCTTTTGTGGTGATGTGTTTTGGGCCACAAGGGCTGGGCTAACGTGGGGTGTTTTGCACACAGAGCGACGATGGTCCCCTCAGTACCCCCGACTTTGGCGATGCGATTGACTCAGTCACCTTCGGTCAGATCCTGGAGATGGATGAGGATGAAAATGATCGCGACTTCAGCCAGTCAATCGTTTTTGGCTTCTTCGAGCAAGCAGAAGAGACCTTTGAGCAGATGGACGAGGCCTTGTGAGTCGCATCATCATCAGCACCATCATCATCATCATCATCATTACCCCCACTCTGCCTTGCTGGCGCCCCTCTTCGCTCTCCTCTCCAGCCCTCTTCCCCCCTTCACCCCTGGAGTATCCTCCGTAGCAGATAGAAACTCATTTTCTGGTGGCCTGGTGCACGTTTCGATTGCACTGGCTGTGGACACTGCTGACTTTTGATTTCTTACTCAACCTTGTAGAGAGGAGAAGGATCTCGAGAAGCTGTCATCGCTCGGCCACTTCCTCAAAGGCTCTTCAGCCACGTTGGGACTCGTCAAGGTTAGAGACAGCTGCGAAAAGATTCAACGTTACGGCAAGAAGGAGAACGAGGATGGAACCCCTGAGACGGACGAGAAGCTGTGCTTGGAGCGAATTGAGAAGACGCTCAAGGACCTCAAGACGGAGTACGAGGACGCCGAGAAGCTTTTGAAGAAGTTCTTCGGCACCGAAGAAGAAGAAGAAGAAGACTAAAAGCCGCCATCGACGACTTCTGGTCAACACCGCTGCTCCGTGTCTTAGCACCAACCGTTCTGTCGCCCAGCATTAGAAACGATGGCTGTGACGACAAGAAGGATATGGGCCACGACGGAGGATGTCCTACACACCTCGAGGGCTGCGCGGCTCTCCCAGTACCTTGGCCCTTTGACACTTTGCTTACGAACCCATTTCTCCTCATACCCCCTTCTCTACGCTTACGAATTTGATTCACGAAGAAAAATTGGCATTTTGGCATGGTGACCTGGATTGGCTTTGCATGGGAGACCCTTTTTTGTCTGCAAAGGGGAAAGCCAAGTTGAATAGCTGGATGGCCGAGGCAGTCTACCAACTGAGACGAAACAAAGGTTTTGAAGGCTCGTGCCATGGGCCCCCCATTTACGCCTGCCATAGTCCTAAATCAACAGCATGCTCTCACAGTCTTTACCACCTTCACTGGATAGACGGACAATAGCATCACCTGCGTTCGTTTGTAAAGAGCCGATACTCTTGGCGGTACAGAGCTGCTGATCCCACGCGAGTAATGGCGATAAAAGCCGCTCTGTGAATTAAATCTTTTAATTCCTTAACTACGATTTCCCTTCCTTCAAGTAGAACAAAACTTACACGCGCATTGCCGGATGGACGGCGTCATATCTGTAACACTTCCACCCAGTCCTCGTGGTGGTGGTTCAAGCTCCAGGGCTGGCAGACGGGCTGACAAGCAGGATTCCATCCCCGGTGCGGGCAGCGGGGAACCCATCAAAATTCTATCCGAGCGTACCCTTTCTAGTAGGTGACAAAATAGGACGCTGGGCAACGAAAGATTGTAATACTGACTTGCCTACTTATTGATCATAACCTTCTGATTCTATTCATCTCTATTATTTCTACTATTACTTCCAGGTTATATATGTGCTTATCAAAGGGTACTCTTTTAAGAAAGAATACGCATAGCAACAGTAGGGAAAGAGCCCGGTAGGATACCTACCTATAGAGCGGCATACGATTATGTCACCCACTTGCCTTTCAGCCTTGACCGACTGACATCATTGTGAGGAGTGACGAAGCCCAGGCTCAGAGATCGACAAACTGACGCCATAGCTCAAACCTGGTATGTCTGCATCTTCTTCTTATGGCACTGGGGAGCATCCTGAGCCCGTGAGCCCTGTGGCAGTGCGGGATCTGCTGGAAATGCCTCC